ATGATGTATTCTTCATAAAAGATCGAGACAATATTTCCCCGTAATATATGTTGAGTTATCAGGCGAGTGCATCTAAATGTATCTCATTATCTGAGCTCACATCCCCTTTTCTTAAACGTTTAGCATCAGACGTACGAAGTATATGCAGTGTAATTAATAATTTATTAAATCTTATACTGAATATGTTTTGACTTGTGTGTGTGTGTTTATTGTATAATTCTAACGTCAGATATGTGTACAAACGTATGCGCTCTATTTTACCACAAGTTGTCAATGCTTTGATGTGGATTTACAGAAGAAAGGAAACAGGCATTATTATTGTTAAGAATTCTGGAGGTGGGTTATAAATCCTTTCAAAGATTTAGCTTTTGTAAATCCGTTCCAGTCTGGGAAAGTTCTGAGAAAGAACAATAATTAAGTTAGAATAGTAAGCAGAACGATTGGAAAAAAAAAATCATATTGCTTACATTTGGTCTACTACCCATCTACCGTTTTGTAACTCGCAAGACAACATTTATTTTCTTTTTGTATTTTTACATGGTAACTGAAGGCATTTAAGGAACAAGGCCGAATTTTTCAAGAAGCTGGTATTCCAATTTATGGAATAGGGGAACAAAGTCATTTTAATCATGGGCATGACGATATGTCAACAGTAAAGGTAAGAATGCAATTTTGTTTTCTCTTTTACTCTATACATATACCAATTAATGATAGCTTCTACCTGTTTACAACGACATGAAAGCCAGAATTAAGCGTTTATTATAACAAGTCTTATAAAAGCACAACCTGTATTTTACAGTATGTAAATACTGTCTGTATATAGGTACCATTTGCATACACCATCCACCTGTATATAACACCTGTATATAAGTATCTCCTGATATAAATATCTGTATATATCTATTACCTATATAAAACGTTTGTATATAACTTACACCTGTGTGTTGCTTTATATCCATCTATAAGTATCACATGTATCCATGCATACCTGACATAAATCTATATTTACAACAAATTAACTGTATAACTAACAACTTGTAAGTATAACATAATTAGCAATTACCTTTACAAGCAGAATAAACACATGAATAAATATACTAGTAATTATCAGTTACATTCCCCACCAGTATAAACACATGTAAAGCTGTTATAGTAACTACAAATTACTTTTCCCGCCAACATTTATAGATATGCTAGTAATTATCAGTTATATTTCCCACCAGTATTTACAATTGTAAAGCTGTTATGGTAACTACAAATTACTTTTCCCGTCAGCATTTATAAATGTACTAGTAATTATCAGTTAATTTTTCCACCTGTGAAACTGTCATAGTAATTATTAGACGTTTCTTTTCGGTAATAATCAGTAGCATTTATTTTCCAACAAATATTAACGCCAGTTAGTATTCAAATTGCAAGCTTTTCATCACAAGACTTCATCATTAACGATATAATAATGTAAATATAGTATACTCATACAAACATCGTTCTAATTTGAAATTGTCCATAGTATCGACTGGATAAGACAGCAGAGGCCAACCTTCCAATATGGATAACCGAGTTGTCTGTCGGTGACTCAAATGCTAATACAAAGGCACAGACATTCGAAGATCTTCTCACACTGTACTTCAGTCATCCTGCCGTCGAGGGTATCATCCTGTGGGGATTTTGCCAAGACACTATGAAATGCAAACAATGTGCCCTCGCTATTGGTCCTGATTGTCATGTATGTATTGTCCCACCATAGAGATGTCTTGCTTGAAGGATAATGAAGATTTTTCTTTATATTTACAGATTAATGATTTACCTTCATGAAGAGTAGATATCAAAAGATTTTAATCACGTGTATTAAGCAATCACGCGATATGACTTTTAGAGCAAGGAAAAACATCAGCAGTATGATAAAAATATTTCACTGTTTGGTTCCACGATATGCATGTCCATATTTCTATTGAAATGTGCCATTCTTTCGTACAATCGTAAAGAACTAATTGTAATATTTTAATCTATAAATATACTTGCTGTGATTTGATCTGAAATAAATCGACGATGTTTTATAAAGAAACATTAACTCTATGAGGATATTTTCTGTATAATCTTTCTGATTTCAAAACGATGGCCTTGTCCCAATTTTGTATGGTTAGGGTTGGTCTGCTGAATTTATTTTTTATGTGTTTGGTATATATATTCGTGGACGTCTGTTATACATTATCAACTTATCTTTTGATGTTTTAGCCGAATGCCGCGGGAGAAAAAGTCAGTCAGCTTTTAAGACAAACATGGCGGACGAATGTGTCTCAGTCCTTAGCTTCTCATAATATCCGGGCTTTCAAGGGAGACTATTCAATGACAGTAAAGCAGAATGGAAATGTTCTTGAAACAAAAACGTTTACTTTGGATGATGTAACAAAGACATTGACTGTTACAGTGACCGGCTCCGGTGAGATTTGTATGAGATTTAATTAGGAAACTGAAAAATGAGTTTTAATTAAACAGTGATTGACATGTTGAAATGTAAATCTGACAAAATTATGCATATTTAATATATCATTATAATTGATGTCTGTATACATTGCCGGTTATTATGAACACACATTTCTATATCAGTAGATATATAAGTGGAAAGTTTTATTATCAAAATATTAAGATATATATGCCTTTATCAATAAGGACGCTGGTGAATTACTATTCATTTGTTTGAAATGACTGTTTCTGTTACCAGGTCATGCTGTCCATACAACGACTAATATCCATTAGGGCTGTCAACAAACGATCAGTGTTCTTTCTATTGTAAAATATAGTTGTTCAATTCAAAATGTTTTTGTCGTCTTTTTGTTTTTTGAAACAAATACGAACACACTCCCAACAAAATGAGAATTCAAAATATGGCGATGTTTTCAATAGGTTAGTTCATGTTATATGATTATGACGTCAGCACAAATCACCAGTTTAGAAGGGGATTTTTTGTTACATATTTGCAAACGTCAGATTTATAATATAGAATATTAAGATAACTTTTGAATAATATATCCACTTAAATTCACAAGAAAAAAAACATCACAGAACTCATAAGATGTTGACAAAACAGAATGTCTAACCTTGAAATAAATAAAATATGATTTATTCACTGATGTGGAGTCCGTAGTCGTAGTTCCTAGTTCTGTTTAAAAAATTGAAACTGGGAACCAGACTCTAGTTATGTTAGAAAAAACAGAACTGTTTACAATATTATAATTCCGCTTTCCCTAAACGGTACCAGGAACTAGGAATTGTGGAATCACTTAATGTTCCCATTAAACTACAAACAAATACGTAATGTATCAAATCATTGGGTAGTGCACCTTCACATCAAGATTTTGACATTCTTTTCGATTTTTCTCATTCACCTTTAAGTCATCAAAGTTGGAAATTTAAATCTACCTCTGGAAAAAAGTACTATTCAATTGTGTGTCTTTTGTTCAAGTTTGGAATCACGTCACGCTCAGACATATTCTCATGGAACATGGATTGATGAGGATTTTGAGAGTAATTATTATCACTATTTCTAGAGACGTACTGAATTGATAATTCTCAAATTTCATATGCAGTTTAACCTTGGTCCCCAGTTGAGTATTCGGACTGATCAGAAAATAACATGGCTGATATACAGCAATCTTAATTGTCAAAATGATAGCTTGTTATCGCTATATCTTGATAATTACTGGTTAATCGTTTTCAAATTTTGTCTGTGAGACGCTTTGTCCCTACTTGTGCCAGTTTGATTTAGGGACTGATTAGGGAAAAAGAAATGGCTTAAAGGCGACCCGCTTGGATACTGCATTAAGAAATAAGTATCAGAGCATTTCTTCTAATCTCACACAATTAAGAACAAATTCAGATGACCCTATGGTGGGCGCAAATTATTCTCTGGAATCTCGTTTCCGATTTCATTATTCAAAAGAAATTTACAAAGATGAAGAAGTAATGCGTTGAATAAATAAAAAATAATGGTATTTACTTCAAGGGACAGCAGTCAAGAGCAAAATATTATGTGACATTCATGCAATAAACAAACAAGCACATTTTGATAATTGATCATAGACTAATGTATGCTTCTTGCATTTTTTGCCATACAAATATAACTTTTCATCTCTGCTGTGATGGATCTTTGGAATATTAGAAATCTCTATTACATTGTTACAGCAACAAGTGACATGATCTTCTGATGCAGATATAGAAGTTTTATAATTATTTGTTTTTCAATATTAGCACAAAAAAGCAAGAACGTTGATGGAAGAAAAACCACCATTTCAACTCCGAAATTGGTGAAACAATTAAACAATAGAAATTTTCTTTAGAACGATAAAACGATAATTTGACAATAATATTTCATTAAGCACGTAAGGGAATAGATCTTCCTATAAGGAATTTGAAAGTTTTTATCCTCGGCATTGGAATATATGTGGCCAAAAGTACACACACACACATTCTCAAGTACAATGTTGGAACAAACATTCAACACTCAAAATTATTTTTTAAACGAAACATATTAATGCAATTTGTTGTAAAGAAATATGTTTTGATTCAAAGTGTAAAAAACGTTTAGTAACCTCAATAGTTTAATAGAAAATGCTAGCATACGTGACAACATTAACGTGGGCATTGTATATTACTGTCCCACTAATTGACATGCGTTTCACAGTAAAATGGGCGACGTCAGTGCTATCTGATTAACATTATTAATATACGTATATTAAACATTGTTCTGACTTATGGTCTTTACTAACCATATACGTACGTTTATGCAATATTGAAAAATGTTATACATTAAAGATTTCCATGTGACCTTTACGCATGATGTTAACCCACATTTCTACATATCTAAGTGTACTTCATGGCCAAGTTCCATAGACGGTCATCAACTTTGACCTATGCCAAACTGATAAGCACCGTCGTTTCAGCTTTAGACGAATAACCTACTTTTGGTACAGCTGCACGTTAACTCGACTGGGTTTACTAACATGATGAAGCATTATTGCTTTATCCTGTTTCTTTGTTTAGGACAAGCTATTTCTGAATTATTCCAAAATGGCGGTTTTGAGAGTAATAATTTTATCGGTAATTGGAAGTGTAATTCATGTCATTTATCCTTAACAAATTATCACGTGAGTGGACATCAAAGTGGAATGGTTACTCAGCGGTAAGTGACATTTACTAGATCTAATATTGATACTTAAATGGAAATATTTCATACCAACATTAAGCTTTAAGGGTTCATGGCTTTGCTCTTTTCAGTGAATAATTGTTTTACGGTTTCACCGTTATTTTATAAATACATATTTATACAAAAAGTAGAACAATGCTATTATGATACATTGAATATAAAACCCATGCATTGATTTTAATACTTATATATATACTTTAACATTACCATTAGAATACCATAATTGAGCATCAATATTTTCAATAAAACGCTTTTGTCTATTTTAATAAGTACACTTCGTATTTTGATTAATTATTATCGCCCTAATCTAGTTTGTTAGGAGTAAGAATTACCTTTAGTATCTAACTTTACTTTTTGTTGACAATGAGATGAACATATTTAAAGTATTTTATTACTTTTGTGCTTTTACTGACCTGTTTTTGTTTTACTTAGTGGCACATAATATTTGCTTCTACAATCAAATGAATGATTTGATGTTTTATTTCGTTTCTCTTAATTAAGATTTATTTACAATATATTATTAATTACATTAATTGATGTATGACTTAGTAGAACATTTCTGATGTATTTTCACAAACAAGTTTATAATTAAGTATTAGATTCCTTGTTTGTATAACCGAATTGATTACCTATTACGCCGAAGGTTATCTTTAATATTTCATAATCACATTCGTACTTTTACCAGTACAGCGACATGGGCAGGTATCTCGTACGATGTCCACATCTCAACTGGTCGGACATATGTTGTCAAAGGCTACATAAAGCTGATAAATAGCGTAGCGGACACCATGTACCAAAAGGTGCAAGTGATGGTTAGAGGGACAGATTCACAAGGTAATCAAGTGTCTTCAGGGAGTATTTATATGAATGGAACCATCAATATTAAACAAACACACAAACAAACAAACAATCAGTTAACATCACTGCTTGCTATGATATAGATTAATGTAAATATTGCGTTCTATCTGGTCCATAAGCAACAGACAAATTTCGAAACATGTTATCGAGTGATGTTTTGATGAAATTATGAGGAAGTTCACGGTTGTCATTGTGATCTTATCGAAAAACATTTCATTTCTATGTGTGATATGCAGTTGGATGTATGTGTTGCTCGTCAGTCTGTTGGTTCCGTTGTTGTATACCTAATTCTCATGTAACATTACTTAAATGGGTATACCGTGATGTACACATTCTCGGGTCAAAAGTATTTTGTAAATTTTCATTATTATCTGAATTGGTTCTGTCGTTTTCAGTGAACTTCTTTTCCTACGCAATCAGGAATCAGGGGTTTCAAACAGAAGTGTGGAAGTCGACACTGATATAGTGTTGAACTCATACTCACCATTTGGTCTACTAATGATAGATGCGAAGTATGAATCATCATGAGGTCGTATACTCACAATGTGTTTTGGGGAATTTACCTATTTTTTAAACACTTAGGTCACACTCATTACATCATGGTATCCGAAGACAGGCACGTGCAACAAGAATTTGATTGGACGGAGATTGGAGGAGATTTCATTATTACAAATCACGGTATGAATATGTAACGAATTTAATAGATGAAAGTATTATGTGTAAGAGTCAGTTTGACATTTGATAAAACATTCATCCAGCTTATCTATTCTATCTAACTTTGATGTTTTACATATCCAAAGTACAAACCATCATTTCGATTCAAATCACTAATATATATTCTAGACATCTACAATACAAGTTTTAATAGTAAAACAACCTCATTAAAAGTTTGTGCCATTGGAGCTAGAAAGTTTGTTCTCTTAACACTGGCCTATTTCACAGGCATACAGTGCAATAATGCATACAGTTTAACTTTACTCACTGACTAATTCTCAAGACATGTTTTCATGTTTTAAATAACATTTATATAATATCGTAGAATGTACATTGTCCTTGTACTGTATAGGATTATACAACTGTATGATGAAGTTTAATTCATTGTTTGGCGTTAATGTATCTATATTCTACATTTGTATTAAACAGTGTTATCCATTGGTGTTTTTGTACAATCTATTTTATATATTTTGTCCTTTCTGTAACTGAACTTTAAAATGGTGATATACTAAATGTCATTTACTATTTTGTTTAGGAATGACAAGCATAACCGTTTACATTCAAGTGGACAACAAAGATGTAAATTATATGCTGGATGATATGAGTTTAATCGAACTTCCTGTCGACTCGCACTGGAAATCGAAGGCTAATGCCAGAATAGATGTCTACAGGAAATCTAACATAGACATTAAGTAATATCGCCTTTCATACAACAAAATATTTTGATTATATATAATTTTGGCTATATTATTATTATCATAATAATGATGATGATGATGATGATGATGATGATGATGATGATGATGATGATGATGATGATGATGATGATGATGATGAATAGTGCATGCCTTTTTCGTAAACTTTGTTATATCTAAATTTTATAAACATTGAACCTCATGTTTTGTTTAAACGCATTTATTTCTGTGATTCAATATTCAGGATTGTCAACGGAAATGGAATGGACACATCCGATCTACAGATGGAGGTAAAATATGTAGATGCAGATACGGAACAAAAATTATTCGGGCAAACTTTTCTGATGTTCGATATATATTTAGGGGATAGTATGCTTTTTATAAACATATACAGGAGATTGGATAATGATAATGAATTTTGGTTTTAAAACAAGACGGAGTCCAGTCCAGCTGTCGATAAGATGTGGGTCAAGGCATTTGAAAAAAAAATCAAAATATTTTATCTGCATGGATTTATCCATGTGTAAATAACCCAAATTTGTCATCTCGCAATGGTAAAGAGATTCATGCACTGATAGTACGGTAAGAATGTTAAACTGCCGCCTGCCGATTGTGTCTGCCACCGAGTTGCCACCGGTCGAATTTGAGTCAAAATTGGCAGTTATCACGACGGCAGGCGGCATTCAGTGATTTGTGATCGTACTAAAAAGTAGATCGATAAAGTATTCGATATCGTGGAGAGGCATCGACAAGAGAGTGTGTCGGGAGACTCACCGAGAAGTTGTCAATATGTTTCTTTCAAATGGAAGTAATGGTAGGAGACAATACCTTGTGAAATAAAGTTGACCCCTGGATAGAGAATATCTCCTACTGTAACGTTTATTGGTTTTGGTGACTTCCTGACATTACCGACAAACCCAATTAATGCGGACAAAATCGTAATATCTTACAATGATTATCATTGTCGTACTTTCCCCTTCATTGTTCGTGGACACACTTTAGTATGGCGTCACAATAACATTTTCAAGTGAGTCTGCCACGACCGGTCGCCATGTTTTGGCTAACATCAGATTTTATAAGTATTTTCGAAATAAGATCACCGAAATCATTAAAAATAAAAAAAAAAAAAAATAAAAAAGTGTTACTTAACTATTATTTTTAGAATTCAAAATATTTACTTAGATATAATATTGATGAAGTTGTAAAATCACTGGTGATCACGCATTGTCGTCACTTCGGACATGTAATGTATGTGTGATGTTGTTACGTGTGGTATATTTGTTCCAATCGTAATATATCTATTAAAACGTTGTACATAAGACTAAAAAAATAAATAAAAATCCAGTAAATACACCTGCAGCCAAAGAGTTTCATTTTGTAAAACGAATATAATAATGCTTTCATGTTTTCTATGAAATGCTATTGTAACTTCAAACTTTTACAAATATATTCACTTGGTCGTCATTCTTTGTTACCAGGCGCCCAGTCTGCCCTCGTTTTAAAATTGAAATAGAACACCCTTTCTGAAACTAAATTCGCCGAGAACATTTGAAAACAAGCGACATTTACTTGAGTATAATATAGCACTTTTGTGTGATAGAATATTTATAATATCATAATGTATCATAACATATTCAATCAAAAGTTAAAATCATATATTGACTTAGATTGCATGCTTATACAATCTTCTTTTGCAGCTGGAGCAGACAAAGAGTGCGTTTGCATTTGGTACTGCAATCAATGCTGATGCCATACACGACCCGACGCAAAAAGGCTATCAGGACTTCTTCTATAACAACTTTGAATGGGCTGTGTTAGAAAATGCTCTCAAATGGAGATTGATGGAGTGGACACAAGTAAGACACATAAAATGATGAAATTTACTTTAAAAACATCCTTAAAATCAGCAACCATAATAATATTATTTGTCGATAATATAACGATGCAAAGCTGTTACATAGTATTTCTGTCTTCAGTCACGGGTTTTGTTTACTTCAGGGACATGCGAACTTTGATAGACCTATGGCAGCTATACGTGCAATGCGTTCCAAAGGGTAAGGAGTTATACCTGTCGGTAAAATTTACCTATGTAGTCTACGTGTTCTCTCTCTATTACGATTTGTTACATAATACATACAACCATCAAGCTCTATTCTGGCTGGTTTGTGTTCCTCAAAAAACTGTTGTAAATGGGGTTGTTATCATGATCATGTCTTTGGAAAGAGGTATTTTACTAGAATGATTATGAACAACATAATATGGACCCTCCAAATAGTGTTCAGTGAGGAAGTGTTCTCTCATTGCTATTTTGTAGAATCAAGATCAGAGGTCACAACATGTACTGGGCGGCCGACCAAAGCGTTCCCAAGTGGCTATCGCCTATGAGTAAACAAGAGCTATTGCAGGCAATGCACACCCATCTGAACGATGTGATCTCGCACACAAGAGGAACGTGAGTATGAAAGTCGTTCATTTAAATATATAATGCAGTTACCGGGTCCTTACGTTCTTTAAACTTAATAAGTCTTCTCGGAGAGAAATTGGGAAAGCATGAAAATGATTAGTATGTAGGCGGTTTAAATTTTCTTAACCTTTAGCGAAATTATTTTTTATTCAGAAAATAACCGACACGTTCTTAGTAAGGGGCATACATTTCATATCTAAACTGGAGATTTGGAGGACTATTTCAGATTCGAGTTTATATTTGTAGTAAAGAATGATTTGCTTAGAGCTTGAGATCTTTAGTTCACACTTTAACATAAGTCTGAGTCAGTTTTAGGACGCCAGTTTCATTTAAGATTGAACTGCACATAATGTACATATAATGAACTAACAGTATTGTGTTTGCGACACAGATTAGAACACTGGGATGTAAACAACGAAGATATACACGGGAATTACTTTGCACGACACTTAGGGAACCCGAACATCACAAACGATATGTTTCGATGGTTACACCAAGCAGAGCCTGACGTCAAACTGTTTCTAAATGAATTCAATGTCGTCAGCAGCCGATTTTCAACAACTGTATGTGTAACCATTATACATATATATTCAAATATAAAAGTTGAATTCTCAGTTTCGGTGAATGCTTACTGATTAATTCGACGTGTTGTTTTAAGTTATTCTAATATATGGATATATATTGAAAATGGAAATTTTGTAAGATGTCTTTAAGAATTCTGTTATTAGCTACATGTATTCGTTCTTTTTGTAATATTGAATTATCTGCCATTTAGAGTAGGTATAGATTGTTACGTCACTTGTTTAAGAGAGTAGTAACATCACGGGGAACAAATTGTCTCACGCAAACTGATGACGTAACAACTAATGCCTGCTCACAAGAGCAGATAACTCTGCAATACGGAAGGACGGCAATTTTGAGAATGGAATAAAAAATGAAAACTAGACCACGTCAAAATTTTTTTCTCGATTTTTGAAAAATCTTTAGCAGTAAAAAACATTTGCAACAGTAATATAAAATTACTGTAAACTTGAATATGTGCGTTACATATTTGATGAAAAAATACTATTTTAATTTAGAAACATATAAAAAGATATCTTTTATGAAATCTTATTGCTGATGATATATGACGTACAAAGAGGGTACTCTGAACATTAACAGGCATATAAAGAACACGCAAGGCGATTTAAGGAATCCAACGTTCCGATATACGGAGTAGGAATCCAGAGTCACTTCCACGGTTCCAATCCGGATATGTCAACAGTTGAGGTATCATATAAGCTTTAATTTACATTGTTAATATATCAGAATAATTGCGTTCCAGACATTTTCTTCATGGAGAACTGTTAAATGTCTTTTCGGTTGTTTACTGTCGCTGTCCGTTTGTGTACTCAACAATTATGATTGATGTTTATCCACGTGATCAACGTCATTTACATTCCTGTCAATTACGCTTCTTTTTTGATAATGAAAAGAAATTTTTTAATGATGTAATATTTCAAATATGATAAATATTTTGATAGTATCGACTGAACAAGGTTGCGGAGACGGGACTTCCTATGTGGATTACGGAGTTGACAGTCGAAAATCACAATGCAGCTCAGAAGGCGGACACACTAGAGGACTTAATGACTTTGTACTTCAGTCACTCATTGGTGGAAGGCATGCTACTCTGGGGCTATTCGGATCAACATGTGTACAGTCAGGGTATAGCATTAGCACACGGCGCCGATTGTACGGTAAGAGATAGTTAAAGACTAGCTGTGAGATTTATCTTACTGTCACGTTTCAACAGTAAGATCTTTCAAATTAAAATGTATTGATTTTCCAACTGTTTAAGGTGCAGATTTACTTAATGTGAACGAATTAAATTTCAAAGTATCAAAGTATCAAAAGTATAGCCTTTTTATTCACATTCACCTTGACCCATAATTTATTGGGCTTTATCTGGCCTCTTACGAGCATCTGAAACGAACCTAACAGAAACACAGGGAATTATTATTATGCGGGTAATACTTTATCAAGATTTACAGAACATCTTACACGAGTTTTTATTAACACCGGATTGAAGAAAAAATTACATAAACATATATATGATGGATGTTTTGACATCGCGAACGGTGTAGTTATAGGATAAGATGTTTTATTGAGCACAGATGATCACATTTGACATAAAATGTTCATTTTTATTTTGAATGATATGACTGAGATAAAACGTTTTACAATTTGTGACTGGTTTAGTATCCATACATAAGAATATGACAGGTTGTTGATCAATAAACACTTTTCATTGTTCAGTGTTATCTAACAGTTATATTAATGCTTTGTTAAGAGAACATAGTTATATATGGTAAGCATATTTCATATCTTCGAAAGAGTATTCCCTCTTACCTAATAACTCTCTGATATTCAGTGATGGTTTAACGAGCGACGCTCACCAATCTTTAAAGTCCCGATAAAATCACCACAATTTTATTAACGAATTGCAGTGAAATTTAACATGAAATACGACGAAATACTGAACACAATTACAAATAGTTGAGTATCTGCTATAGGAATTTTTAGTACGGGTATATCAAATATAGAGTTAGGCCTTCTAACACAACCAGTAGAAGATTTCAATGTGACATTTCGATGACTTCCCGGTCAACTTCAACAGACAAATGACCAGTGTAAACCGCATTAGCGCTGACGTATCGAGTGTACGAGATTGCATTTTTTGTCCGGGCTTCCAGTGTACACTAAGGTAGATAATAATGTGCCAAGATGGTAAAATAATATAGAAAAAAACCCACCTCTTTCAGCCAAATGCAGCGGGGTTGAGGTACCAGCAACTCTATAGAAAATGGCGTACGGACGTGACCACCAATCTTCATAGTCAGACCGTTCGTGGCTTTAAAGGAGACTACACGCTCCGGATTAAATCACATGGACATACAATTGAAACCCGTACGTTCACACTCGGTGACTCAAACAAGACGTTGTCTGTCAGTCTGTCCGGAACAGGTGAGTTATAATGTAGAAGAATATTGTTTTTATTATTTTTTATTTATAGTCTCCCTTACTATTTTGCATTCATATTGCCCATTATCAATTATAGAATAAAACAAATAGTCATTGTTCAATATGTTTAAAGTTATGATATCCAACCTTATACTTATGTTCATTGATAAGCAATGATAGAGAAGTGTTTTCAGACACTATATGAATAAAACTATGTTTAACAATTACATTGATATGACAAATATATATCAATTGTACAAGTCCAATATAATATCATTTTTCTCTTTTATTTCAGCGGCCCATGCTCACTCCCATACTGTAATAGCATAGATGAATAGTCAGATATACGATCTGGTCGGGAAAATCGTCGGTATAATTATTAAATATGACACTAAAATGCACTTGTATAAAAATATAAACGCAATACTAATTCTTAATATGATTTTCAATTTAAAAAACAATCCTGTAAAAAATGTTTAGAAAATAAATTTAGCTTTCAGCAGATACAATCTCATTTTTTTGTATATGCTGATGTATGTATTAAATCAATGCTTAATTATCGTATTTTCATTTCGATTCATGTTTTCGAGATACAGAAGAATAAGTTCCTTCCTGTATAAAAAGCATAGAAATTTTGTTTTGAATTCGTTAGTATTTGGAAACATGACGACATAAACCATGACACCACAGATCACACATTGATTTTGTAAATATGATAAAGACATGGAATAAATAGCTTTAGTTCAATATGAGTTAATATGAAAACACAAAAAGAATAATCAAAAATCAAAAAATCAAAAGTGATGGCCTTAGAAACTAACCCTTGTCAAGAAGAAGAGTTATCTTTCTTGTTACGTATTTTATCGACACACCATAGTACATATTTCGTCTTAAGCGATATGGCGCTTTACCTTGCCGGAGCACCTAGTTCAAATACAAGACTAATGACCACAGTTAAACGTGTATCTGAGTCTAAATGTATGTTTAAGACGTACGGAAAGACTTATCAAAGAATACACATGTAATCCAATAGCCCGATCACTGATGAAGTATTGAAATGACATTTACCAGGCCTCCAACAACACCAAGAAGGACTCTATATTACTATTACATAATTCATCGACTGAAACAATGTTCACTTGTGATAATAGGCTGAGTTATGGCCAGTAATAGATGCAACTAATTTTACTATGAATAAATAAATAAATAAATAAATAAATAAATAGATAAATAGATAAAAGAAATAAAACAATACTGTCCGTAGCTGAAACCGAACGTGCGATCCCATGAAAATACAACTAACGTGTGAGTGTGGCCGTTTGTGCTATAAACAATAATAATGAAACAATCGATACTTCGATGGGAAATTCTTAATTTTAAGTTCAGAAGCGCGTAACATTTTCCGTCCTGTGTCAATTTTTCGGCATCACTGCATGGTTGTTCCAAGTTTTGAGGAGAGGATTTATCTGATCAGACTGGTTAGATAAAACTGTCTAAAAGTAGGTACACGTGAGCACTGTATGACGAAATACTATTTGAAGCCGAGGAACCTCCAATGTTTTAGTGCATATTGCTGAAGGTAGAAAATTTGCAGAAAATAACACATGATCCATATGTTCTTGTGATGTTTAGCATTTGGATATTGACCATTGACAGTATCTATCTGTGTTTCTCTGGATAGAATATTTCCATTTTATTGTTGGTCACATTCAGGTCGAATCAGATGTTTACATGCCATACCTCTTTAAAGACGATATGAATTAGTGATGAGTATAGTGAGGATTTCAAAATCTTGAAAATGGTTGAATATTTAGTTAACAATCAACCTTGACATACTCATTGGAATTCAGTCTCTCTCGGCCGACAATCAGACATTTTTCAGTTCCGGTTTTAAACACATAACTGATCCTTCCTTTCGGGCAAAAATCATTCGCTGGGAAAAAGCATTGTGTCTTTATGTGTATTTATAGCCACTTTGACACCAAATAAAGTAATGAACGAAATGCATCGAATATAGTTTTTTTTATTGTATTTGTATATGTTGCTAATAAGGAAAAATGATTTTGTATTCGACTTTGATTTTATAAAGGTATGATCACGTCCTTTAGTGCCTTATCTCTTTAATGACCAAGTCAAGCGGAAACGGAACCATAATATAGGTAAGAAACGTCTACAACAGCCGTTACTGCATTTTTACAAAGCAACTAAACTAACAATGCATGACTGTTTCGATATTCCTATTTTGAATATTCCATTTTTTTGTGGTAACAACCAAGCTTCCCCGTTGTAAATGATTTAATATTCAAGGATCTTTCCACTATCTCACTATTCTGTTGACTGCAGCCAATTACACCTACATCCCATACACAGGCTTTTGATATATGATTAGATTTAAATTGTCAATGTAGTAGAGATTACTTTTCTTGTTTCCTTGTAAATGTTTCTTTTGTTTATATAACGCCCTTGCTTGATCGATATTAAGTTTGAATAATGGTTTTTGTCAGATTTTGGTATTTAAGAATTTTGTTTATGGCAGATTACGTCACTGTGTTTTGATAATATAGCAAATTTTGTCCACGTATTTTGACAGTATGGCAGATTATGTCGCTGTGTTTTGATAGTATGGCATGTTTTGTCTGTTTTGACAGTGTGGCAGAATTTGTCGTTGTGTATTGACAATATGGCAAATTTTGTCGTGCATTGACAGTATGTGGGAAAGCTCTCAGTCCGTCATTCTTTTTTATTTTGTCCAGAAGAATACCTTTCCTTTCGTTGTACTTCCCAATGTAATCCAGTTTGTTGTGATCAGTTCTGCACCAGGAGAGTCAGCGGCATGCTTCGTATTTGACGTTCAGGAATATATCTATGTAGACTGTAAACAGTCTATCATGGCCATTGTCTGAGTCATATAATGTTGCCGTCTGGTGTAAGTGATAGGCTTTGTTAATTGTCTGTATTTTGTACTTCTTCCTGATAACAACGTCTATCTTAACAGAGCACCATGTGCCCACCAGAGATAATTCATCATTGTTGTCTCAACATGTCCCCTGTTGTTTGTTTTGCCTACACGTCCGTCACATCCCAAAGAGAAGGTTTCCATTCATTCTGAATAGCAAAAGGGAATGAAAAGTCGTCTAGGAAGAATAACTGTACATTTTATCAAGCCAAAATATTCATAAACGCTCTTCAACGCCGACAGGATACTTGCAGTATTTGTTCATGATTGGATTCAAACATGAAAAATCAACATAGTGGATTTTTTCTTTCGCATATACGTGTATCACTTCCAGAAAGTCTCACAAACAGATGAGCCATTATCTTAATAAAGCTTGTTGAAGTGCCTCTCTTTGTGTATCGTGTAGCAATCAAATATCATACACTGGAAACCACAATCCAAGCAAACAAATTTAGTTTGATCGCCGTTCCCACAATTCTATCTCTGTCACATTTTTCAACGTCATATTTGTGACGTCTATTATGTACGGGTTTGATATATTCAAGAGTTTCCTACCGTTACATTTTGCGTACTGTAACAAACACAAATTGCCATAGCACAACAGAGGTGGCGGTTTTCATTGCGAATTTCGTATATACTGTTAAAGTTGATCTTTAAGGAAAAAAAAACAAGGAAGAGTTTGTCCTCTTAGCGTTGATGTCACATCGTAATACCCCATCCGAGACGTTCCCATTGCTACCTAAGGGCTATGTCTTCAAACATACACATACATGTTGACAGAAAGCGGGGGAAATGGCTGTGACGTCATTTTACTGTTAGCTTTGATGCTATCAGTAGGCACATTAAGATGCAAATGCTCAAGGGATTCTGTGCATTGCTTGCGCCATGTACCAATCAGTCACTATGGAGATGTAGAACGTCTACGTTTGAAATTTTGAGGAATGTTAGAGCAGTTGACTGGGAAGGATTCATCAAACTTAAATTTGTCAAGATCGAGCGATCAGAAGCTTTCACCTGCAGTCTGATTTTTACTTCTTCCTTGAGACGAACGACTCTGATTTAGAACCAACTCAAGTGTAATGCATTTAGAAATATATTATTTTACACAAATACTAAAATATAAATGATAAAGAAATATTTCAAGCCCATTCATAATTAACTTTATAATCTAATGTAAACAGTTTAATTTGTTGGTTTATATTTAAATGAATATAAGATGTTTCATGTATTTCCAAAACATTGGAAAAATTTATAAACTAAAGTAAAATTACCATTGTTGTCAATATCAATTGAAATTTGAAGATTGTGCTTTGTTTTATTATGCTACGAATTTAAATTATGATAAAATACGATTTTATCTATTTGAAAAAAATATTTAACAAGGTTGTGGTGAAGCTACAACGCTTCAGTTATTCATCAATACTATTGTTACGGTCACCATGGCAACAACTCTGTTAATAGGTACAAGTTATGGTATAATACTTCTAAGTCAGATGAAGGCGTTTGAATGTGAGCAACTCGCTGTAAAGTAATATAAAAGTAAATGTTATGGTGGATATAGTGTTGTCAGATATTTTGAAAGTCTTACAAGGGGAAACTGTCTCCCCGATTTTTTAAGGATGCTTGTAAACGACTGTGAAATGGAATGTATTAATAATGGAATTCAGTCTTTTGAGCTGCAAGACTTATCGTTATTTCTACTCATGTACGTTGAAGACATGGTGCTGTTCTCGGACAGTGTTGATGGTGTATCGCATATGTTGGATAACTCAACATCATGTAATAAGAAGTGATCTTTGTCACTTATTGTTGAGAAAAATAAAATTGTGGCATTTAGAAAGTCTCCAGTTTTCTAATGGAAAATGAAAAATGGGAGTATAACGGTGTAACATTCGACTCTGTAGAGTGCTCTGGTTTGGGAGTGAAACTCAATTTTAATGGAAATATTACCCTCACGTAGAAGCAATTGGCTGCAAAGGGTAGGAAAACTATCTATTCTCTTTAGCGGTCATCTAAGGCTATGGTGTTGAATTTTGGTACCGTTTGTTACTTTTTGATACCTGTGTAGCTAACTACACCTGTGAGGTGTGATGATTTCACTAAGCCCCTGATATTGAATAACTCCATCTAGATTTTTGCAAGAATATTTTAGGAGTTAGAAGATCAACTCCAAACACAATGTCTTATTTTGATCTAGGTAGATTTCCTCTAAAGACTTTTATTTTCAAGAAAACTAAGAATTTGGAGGTATTGCTGTTCATGAAACTGTATACTAAATGCATATCAAGACACGTATACATGAAATGTGAAGCAAACCAACATTGTGAAAATCGGGCTGCGTCTATTAAACGTGAGCTGTTTTCTTGGTATGTCT